TGATGCACATGACTGTTCTACGTAATCTGGCATATACAAGTTGAATACATTATCAGGAGATATGGGGACGGTTGGTAAGAAAATCTGGTGCACAGGTTATTTTTTTCCTCTCTCTTTCCAGTTGCAGGCAGTGACATAGAAAGAAACAGAAGAGTCCAGTCTATTAATACATAGCTCCGTGACTGGTGTTTCTGCGACAATTTTGGGTTATTTGATAATGGGATGGCCTACATGGCACCTGGCTTGCCAGCATCAGATGGGATTAACCCTTCTCAAAGGGAGAAGAGGGTCTTTGCTCACAAGCTAGGTGGGCTCATTGACAGTACTTTAAACTAGACTTGAAGGGGGAGGGGGATAATATCAGGCTTTCCCGTGACAAGCTGTGGGATGACACTGCAAGGTTAGAGGGACGGGATGCTAGCGAGGGCCCTCAGCCTGTTGCTCTGAGACGTGCTGGCTACACTGCAGCACACTGGAAGTCTTACGGAGATGAGCCAGGGGCTCCTGAGGTAATGGAGCCAAACACCAGTGAAAGACATCAAAGGAACTAATGGGTGTTCCCCTAAGAAGGTGACACAGCCAGTAGCCCAGCTGAAGTGCCTCTACACCAATGCATGCAGCATGGGCAACAAACAGGAGGAGCTGGAAGCCACCATGCTGTTAGAGAGCTACGACCTGGTTGCCATTACTGAAACTTGGTGGGATGAATCCCATGACTGGAGTGTGGCTATTGATGGTCACAGGCTGTTCAGAAGGGACAGGAGAGAAAGACAGGGCAGAGGCATTGCCCTCTATGTCAAGAAGTGGATATGGAGAACTGTTGCTGAAGAATTTTCAACTAGCATGTTGAAAACTTACTGGTAAGATTCAGAGACTGAGGCAACAAAGGGAACCTTATGCTTGGTATCTACTACAGGACGCCTGATCAAGGGGAGCCTACTGATGAAGCCCTTTTAATCCATCTAGAGGAGGCATCGTGCTCTCAGGCTCTTGTCCTGCTGCGGGACTTCAACCACCCCAACATCTGCTGGAAAAGTAACACTGTGAGCTGTAGGCAATCCAGGAGACTCCTGGAGGATAACTTCTTAAAGCAAGGTAATAGACAGCCCTATCAGAGGGGACGCCATACTGGACCTGTTGGTCACCAACGCATGTGAGATTGGTGACATCAAGACTGGAGGCAGCGTGGGCTGCAGTGATCATGCTCTGGTGGAGTTCGCAGTCCTGAGGGACATGGGGCAGGTGAAGAGTAAAGTCAGGACCTTGAATTTTAGGAAAGCAGACTTCCAGCTCTTCAGGGAGTTAGTCAATAGGACCCCCTGGGAAACTGCCTTCGAGGATGGCGGAGCAGAACAGAGCTGGCAGATCTTTAAGAACGCTTTCCAGAGAGTGCCAGAGTTCTTCATCCCCAGGTGTAAGACATCTGGTAAGGAAGGCAAGATACCAGCATGGCTGAGTGGAGACCTGCTGGGCAAATGAAAGGGCAAGAAGGAAATGCACAGGCAGTGAATGCACGGACAGGTATCCTGGGATGAGAGGATGGCGGAGCAGAACAGAGCTGGCAGATCTTTAAGAACGCTTTCCAGAGAGTGCCAGAGTTCTTCATCCCCAGGTGTAAGACATCTGGTAAGGAAGGCAAGATACCAGCATGGCTGAGTGGAGACCTGCTGGGCAAATGAAAGGGCAAGAAGGAAATGCACAGGCAGTGAATGCACGGACAGGTATCCTGGGATGAATACAGGGACACTGCCTGATTGTGTAGGGGTGGGGTCAGGAGAGCCAAGGCTGCAGCTGAACTTGGCAAAGGATGCAAAGAATAATAGGAAGGGCTTCTAGGTATGTCAGCCAGAAAAGGAAGCTCAAAGAAAGCATACCCCTCATGATGAGCAAGACTGGCAAACTGGTAATGCTGAATGAGGAGAAGGCTGAGGCAAAAAAGTTGTTGAGTACTTCAGTCTTCACTGGCAGTGTCTCTTCCCACACCTCTGGAAGGGATGGACTGCAAGATAGGGACTGGAGCAGCAAAGTTCCTTCCACTGTAAGAGAAGATCAGGTCTGAGACCACCTGAAGCGCTCTTCATGACATCTGAAAAGTCATGGTATTCAGGTGAAGTCCCTGGAGACTGGAAAAAGGGAAACATTGCACCCATTTTTAAAAAGGATAGAAAGGATGACCCTGGGAACTACTGACCTGTCAGCCTCACCTCTGTGCCTGGGAAAATCATGGAACAGATCCTCCTAGAAGCTATGATAAGGCATGTGGAAGACAGGGAGGTGATTTGAGATGACCAGCGTGGCTTCACCAAGGGCAATTCCTGCCTGACCAACCTAGTGGCCTTCTATGATGGAGTGACTACATCAGTGGATAAGGGAAGAGCTATGGATGTCATCTGTCTGGACTTCCGTAAGGTCTTTGACACGGTCTCCCACGACATCCTTCTCTCCAGTTCGGACAGATACGGATTTGATGGGTAGACTGCTGCGTGCATGAGGAGCTGGTTGGATGGTTGCATCCAGAGCGCGATGGTCAATGGCTCAATCTCCACATGGAGATTGGTGATGAATAGTCCCTCAGGGGTCTGTGTTGGGACCAGTACTGTTTAATATCATAGAATTGTTTGGGTTGGAAGGGACCTTTAAGGGTCATCATCATAAAATATCTTGATCGATGACATACAGTGGGATCAAGTGCACCTGCAGCACGTTTGCAGACACCAAGCTGAGGGGTGTGGTTTGAATGCCTGAAGAACAGGATGCCATCCAGAGGGACCTGGATGAAGTTGAGGTATGGGACTGTGTGAACCTCATGAGGTTCAGCAAGGCCAAGTGCAGGGTCCTGCAACCTGGGTCAGGGCAACCCCTAGTATCAGTACAGGCTGGGGGATGATGGGACTGAGAGCAGCCCTGCTGAGAAGGACTTGGGGATACTGGTGGATGAAAAGGTGGACATGAGCTGGCAATGTGTGCTCGCAGCCCAGAATGCCAACCGTTTCATGGGTGGCATCCAGAGCAGAATGGCCAGCAGGTCAAGGGAGGGGATTCTGCCACTCTACTCCACTCTGGTGAGTCCCCACCTGCAGTACTGCACCTAGCTCTGGAGCCCTCAGCACAGGAAAGACATGTTGGAGAAGGTCTAGAGGAGGGCCACAGGGGATGGAACACCTCTGCTGTGAGGACAGTCTGAGAGCATTGGAGCTGTTCAGCCTGGAGAAGAGAAGGTTCTGGGGAGACCTTCTTGCAGGCTTCCACTACTTCTAGGGGTCTTCTAAGAAAGATGGGGACAGATGTTTTAGCAGGGCATGTTGTGATAGGACAAGGGGTAATGGTTTTAAACTAAAAGAGGGCAGATTTCGACTAGATATAAGGAGGAAATGTTTCACCATGAGGGTGGTGAAACAGTGGCCCAGGTTGCCCAGAGAGGTGGTAGATGCCCCATCCGTGGAAACATTCAAGGTCAGGTTGGACAGGGCTCTGAGCAACGTTGAAGATGAAGCAATCTAGTTGAAGATGTCCCTGATGATTGCAGGGGACTTGGTCTAGATGGCCTTTAAAGGTCTCTTCCAACCCAAACTATTCTGTGATTGTATGATACTTCATATAATCTATCAAATATCCAATGCTTGTGTGTTCTCAATTCTGTGCTTAATTTTGAAGTCCTCCTCCTACCCGTTTCTTTCTCAAAAAAATGGCCTTTTTCTCTTACTGGTTTGACCTAACTATGTATGTGGGTTTTTTATTTCATATGGCTATTTCTAAAATATGTCTGCATTCTTGCATTTTGGGCTTATTTACTATGTATCACTATGTATCAATTGATTTATATTTTTTAAAATTTGTGTCCTATTCTGGTTTTTGGATGCCTTTTTGCATATAGACTATCCAGATTGGCAACCTTTATTGTAGAGACTTTTTCTTCCTTGTTAATGTCATTTTATCCTAAGAAGGTCTTTTTCAGATTTACCACCCTTCCCCTATGAAAACACCCTCATTACAGTTGTTGCTGTTTTCCTTTCCACTGATGTAAGTTCGTCACATCTGCTCATGGCTCTGATCAGGCACTCTGCGCTAAAATCAGCTAAAACGTACTGGGAGACAGAACTGTGAGAAAGAAGGTTGCGAATTGACCTCGGAACAGAAAACATGTTGTTCATTGTTGCTTATCCTCTGGACTTCTCATTTAACACATCTTCCAGCTGGTAGTCGCTCTCCCTGCTTTTGCCTAACGTGGCTGTGGCTGCTTTCTTTGTTCCTACTGTAGTGGATAATACTGACCTATTAATCTTCTGTGAACCCTGGACCAGTGGCTGGAACAACATGAACATATGCAGTGCTGCTCTGGTCTCTTCCACTGCTACAAATTGCTATATTGGGTGATGCGCCATGCCATATGTGCATAGACCATATGTTTTTTTCCACTCAATCTACAGTTGGCTTGTTCATGGTGCATTGTAATATTTTGCTGTATGTGTCTAAGTTCAGTGTAAAGCTGTTTTATTTGCTAGAATTAGAGGAGTGTATTTACATGGGAAACTTAATTTTGCAATAAACTGTTATTGGTAGCAAAGAATGTGACATAATGCTATAGATTCAGCTGAAGATAGCACTTAAAATGAAAATGTTAAAACAATATCTAAATCCTTATTGTTAAGGAATTAAGCAATGTAATTTCTGGGTTGGTTTCATTAACATCAATATGGTGAATGAAGCTTGGAAAACTTGACTCCCAGAGAGTTAGGTTTTCATTAATTTTGCTGTTAAACAGGGAGAAGTGTATTAAATGCGTGCTAATTAGGAGTTTTGCAGCAACTTGACTGCTAACTTGAGGTCTGTGTCTGTATCCACGTTCTGCATTCTTTGAATTCATCTTGGTATAATATTTTTAAATATTTTGAACAGCAGATGTGCATTGCTTATAGATTTGTGTAAATGTTGATGCACTGTATACAAAATATGTCTCCCATACAATGATCTGTTGACATTATTCTCTGTTGCGTAGCTTCAGACAGTAAAGTCACGACATGTGCTGCTGTTTGGAGGATGCCGAAGGAATTGGAATCAGGCAGTCATGAATCCCCTGATGATTCATCAAGCAACACTCAAACCCTGGAGCTACTCTGTCACCTTGACAACACAGCCCATGGCAATATGGCCTGGTAAGATTCTGCATATTTTATACGCCTAGAAAAGCCTAAAGGATAGACCTGTGCTGTTTAGTTTTGTGCAGATTTATATTGTAGAAGCAATGCTATACACTTTAAAACTATTCCATCTTTTAAAAAAAGGTACAAATTGGTTTTTTAGTCCCAGATGTTTCATAGATTAAAAACATTTATTATAGTCCTGCAAACACATATGGAGTAGCAGCCTGTGTACTGTTTTAATGTGTTTCTCCCCACATGCCCCCATCTAAAACCTTTGTTGCACAAAGGTATAATACTTAGCATTTCAATCTTTTTATGGAATATAAATTTGATGTTGCACTTCGGTCTTTGTTTTTTCAGTCTTCACTCAACTGATTTGGCGTAAGTGCAAGTAATTTATTGTTTGCTAAGGATAAGAATACCTTATATTATATGGTGCCTGTTTAACTACTCTTTTTTGTTGCCTGAGAAAAGACAAGAGCTGCAGTACTGCAGAGGGTATTACAGAGGTTGTTTTTTTTTTCTTTCTGTTATTGAAAAGGAAGTTAAATTTCTCCACCATGTATTTGAAAGTTCTTTGCTTTATAGGTACATATATGTCACATTTTGTCATGCCGTTTGTCATGTCACTACTTCCTGAACAGATGCAGAGAGAAGAAATTTTAATACACTTGGTCCATATTTTAGCAACTACGATGTTGTTTGATGTAATTTTGGGACCACCTGACCATCTCCCACTGGCAGGAAAAATTGAAACCATAAGACTGTGGTCTGCTGTAGTCTCAGGAATGTTTGTCTGTCAGGAAGAAAATGGAGTAGAAGGTGCTCTTGCAAGTTGTGCAGTCTCTTTTACAGTTATCGGAGGATTTTAAGAGGAAAAAAAAAGTGGAATAACACAGTAGATTTTTTTAAAATGAAATGTGACAATTCTGAAAAGAAACCAAAAAAGGATAACACAACATCAAAGTCGGATACTGCTGTAAGTGTCTTACATGAGAGTGGAAAGGGCCTCTTTGGTTTCTGTGTTCAGATACCAGCTGTGTAAGGTATCCATCATAATCTCATTATACTTAAATATATTCTAGTAGTAATACTTTTAAAATATATCAAAAGGAAACAATACTCAAAATCAGTCTCAGTTCCTTCTCAAAATCTGGCAGCATAAAAACTTCTATTCATTAGTCAGCTAGTAAAAATAAAAAGTAGACTTTAGAAGTCATAGTTAATTCAGTTGATTTTTGATTGTGATACATTACACTGTAAGTTTTAACCCTCTATTTCTAGCCACTCATTTCTAGTTTGAGCATTGTAGATGAAATTTCAACTGAAAAACAAAAAAAAAAGGTAAATAGAAGGTAATATTTATTAGTTGCTTCTTGGATATCCAAGATTGGACATATCATTGTATTCAAAAGTGTGTTGTCTAGGCTACTTTTTTCTAAAATCTCAGCTTCCTGAATGTTAAATTTCTTCATGGTAGTATTTTTTAATTCTCTGCTACTCATTTTCATGTGAACACTTTGCTTTATAACTCTTTGATTATATTAAACCATTCCCTTTTTATTGTTGAAAAGTCTTGATAATTAGTTTCCAATATAATTGGGAATTTTATTTTTTGGGTGTTTTAATCTTCACCTTTCACCCCTTAAGATTTGTACTTTTTGTCTTTGAATTTTCCATAATCTGTTCCTGTCTGATAGCGGGATGCCGGAACTCTGTATCGTAGCCTTATCACCAGAGGAGGAATAGTCGACATACCACTGCTTTGTATCAGGATGTGAATTTATGTGAATGCCAAAATTTTTTTTTTTTTGCTAATATAGCTTGTAGCAAGTTCATGTGCAGTTTTTTTTTGTCTCTTGTTGTCTGACTGTTCAGTACTAGTGCTCACAAATATCTGCTGCTATTTAATACCCATTATCTGTGTATGTGTGTGTATGTAAGTGTAAAGATTTGAAAATGTCCTGTGTTACAGAGAGATAAAAGGCATAAACACAATACTTGGCATTAGCACCCCTCACATCATCTCAGACAAGCACAGTTGAGTTAGAGGATCTTGTTCTAGAGCAGACTTTTCTATTCCTGCCACAATCATAATGGGAACAGCTCACATAAATTAGTAAAATAAACGTTTTTGTGTCACTTAACAGTGCATGTCCCACTGAGTAGTGTGTTGACTACAAATAGCAACATAAATATTCTTTGCTATTACACGTTTCAGATGTTTAGAAAACTATGAATCTACTTTAGGCACTTGCGGTACAATTGTTGTTAGAACCAACCATAAATCAGAAAAGCAATTTTCCTCAATGTAAAGTGTAAACACTTTTCAAACTTCAGTGTAAGACCAATGTTCTGATGTACACAATCACTTTGTATGAGATCAGTGGTGGTCTGGAATCGTACATTCATGGTAAGAAGGGCAATTCTTATTCTGGCTCTGTCATTTGCCTTGCCATTAGAGCATACTCTTGTACATTTTACTCACAAAACACAGGCTGAACACTGAACCCACATACACTTTAAGGAGGTTGTTTAATCCACAGAATGCAGTAGAGCAATGTACCACAACCGCTACCTTCATTAAGGGTGGGAAAGTTTTTAAGTCATGATAGCTTTTGAAATTATATATTTCAGATTTGATAAAGACATATTTTTTTAAGTTAATTTTAAAAATTATTAGTCAGAATGCATGCTTAAAAAAAAAGAGTAAAAACATAAACTGGGCTTATTCTAGGCAGTGAAGAGTGCCGTAGTTGACAGTACAGCTTAGAGATGCAGGGTGTAATGTTGATCTTGGCCTTTGTGGCACCTAGTGTGAGTTTCTGTGATTCTGGATAGCAGCTCATAGGAAGGTATTTTGTGTGTCTCTGCATTCATAGCACAGATGCTTCACAGTATTCATGGATCTGGGTTGCAAATCGTAATTGAGATTTGACTGTAACTAAGAGGAAAAAAGCAAAACTACCTTGAAAATGCAACCAGGTATGTACTCTGGTATTCACTGCCTCAGGGCTTTACTTTCTTGTACTTTTGTTCATGTTCTCCCTGCTCTGCTTTATTTCTTAATTTCTTTTTTTTTAAGGTTTATCTTTCATTAAGAAAGCCTAATAGTTGAAAAATTACGTCAGATTTTTCTGTTTCTAGTATCATGTACTAGGGAACGCAAGGGGGTATTTTTTTTTCCGGGTCTGGTGGGTCAGGTATTAGTTTTGCTCAATTGTTTACTGGTGTTAAGAACTGATCCTGTCTTTCTTTACCTTTATCTCATTTATGGAGTGCGGTGCTCAAATGTCTCTGAAATTTCTTATTAAAAACTAGCAGGGACATATTTAATACCAGTTCTTTTTTTGTGAACCAAGACCAAAAGAGCATTTCCAATTGATTGTGACTAAAATCCTGAACTTCCCTTGCATGTGTCTGAACACTGTGTCCCTCCTGCTCAAGATCTTTTGAAATAATTTTCTACTCATGACAAAACCTCTGACAAAAATCTGATCTCCAAGACGTTACAGGCAAGTGAAAAAGAAATGTGATTTTCTACAGTTCTACTTTGTCTGGATGGCATGAGTTACCGTGCCTAAAAATTCAGCATAACTATTTGTTTTCAGTTACTGAGATTGTTTACTGCCTCTAAGCTTTGAATCTGGTACCCATCAGAATTTTAACTGAAACTCTTGTATGGCATAGGGAAAATTCAGAAAATGAAACAGATGCTTAAATTAGGCAAAAAAAAAAAAATGGACCTATTAATTGCTGTCTTTGGTTCAAGCCTAATATTCATCCTCTGTCTACTGTTCCTCATGTGAGCCAAAATGCAAAGACTGAGTGCAGAATTTTCTAGTGATTTACTTACAGAGTGAAAACTCCAAGATACATGGGGACTTGTGTGTTTAAAAAAAAAAAAAGCCTTTTCTCTAAATTAATTTTGTTGTTAAATGTATGGTATTCACACAGTATATATGGTATATACACATATATAACCATAGGTATCTTGTGCTATGTAAAGTGAAACAAGACTTCAATTAATGAGATTTGGATTACTCCTCTAAGTGTAGCTTGGAGAAATCCTTACAACTGTGTCTGTTAAAATCCTGAAGATTTATGTATTAGGATTAACCTACTGTTCTACTTCTTCCTCAGTTTTCCTACAGACTTTTTTGATAGTAGACTTGACAAGATAGTCCTCAGAGAAGGAGGATACTACAGGCCATGAGAGAAAGTGTAATCTGTGAGATCCTGAATTCGAAACTCAGCAGGGACTTTTTCTTTTGTCAGAATTAAAGGCACAAAGCCAGAGTTTTTCCCTGGCATCTGCTGGAAGCAGGCTTGCCTATATCTGCTTAACATCCTACTTTTTGCTTTCCAAATTTGGCAGGTATAAAATAGGTTAGATGCTGCTCAGTAGCAAGTTATGTGCTTCAAAAGAGAAGGGGGACAAATGAACTAAGTTGGATGGTGGTCCACAGAGTAAATTTGGAATAAAATAAAAGCAAAATTAATAAGGGGAAAGTGTTAGATGGACAACATAGGTACAACTGTAAAGGGAAGGTGAATGGAGATGACAGAGACAAGAAAAGTGGGAGCTCAATTGTGGGAGGCCTGAAAGGTGAGGAATGAAGAATTCACGTTTTATGTAGAAAACAACAGTCAGCTGCTAAAAAAAAGTTGGAAAGGGATAAATATGTTAGGAATAACGATAGATTACTTCATTAAGCTTCTCTGCTTGGTGAAGTTGAATGTTTTTAGTGCATCCCACTCAATCAATCCTAAATATGTACTTGCAAATATTACATCTAAGAGAAATTAGAGAGGAAGACAAATTATTTTTTTTTTAATCACAGATGTTTCAAGAATACTGAGATGTTTAGCACTAAAATAGTAAACTAGATTTTTGAATTCACAAAGGAGAAAGTTACTATAAATGAGTGTTCCCACAGACTTTTTAAGTACTTAAGTTTTATTTGGTATTTCATCTAAGGTCTTCAAATAGAGTACTGAGGAGTACCATC